GCGTCGACATCCTCACTTCTGCAGCCTCTTCTTCTTCTCTTCACCTTCCATCCTTCTTTTTTCTTTTCTTTTTCAGGTTTTCTGGGCACAGTTTTACGTCGTGTCCGGGACCACCAGTGACGACGACTGCCAAGAGACGGGAGAGACGAATGATGAAGGACGAGGACGACGGACGAACTTCTTCAAGACGGACAAAACTGTGACGATAGGACGACTGGAGATGACATCGGAAACTGGGAGCGAAGGCCACGCAGGACGAATCCAGAAGTTGAAGTGTACAACAATTTCCATTACCGCTGCCACCAATGTTGTAACTGCCACCAATGTTGTAACTCGCTTTTCTCTACCTGCTCCCAGTCCCGTGCCATCTCCACACTTGTACAAAGGGACGACGATAACTACATTTAGAAGACTGTTTATTGACACGACGACGAAACACAACTAGACATGACGAACTCAAGACGAAGACATCATAAACTCAAGACGAAGACATGATAAACTCAAGACGAAGACAGCTTTTCATACCACAGCAACACGCGCATGCACCAACATGACGTACACACGACGTACACAAAATAACGTACTACAACATCTTCAAATCAAGTGGTCTCTTCGCTGCAAATTACAATGTCTCAATTAAATCGGCCAGGAACCATCATTAGGATTAATTACGATAGTGTAATTTGCAGCAAAGAGACCACTTGATTTGAAGATGGTGTGTGTAAGGTTTTCATGTAATGAAGTGGCTGCAGTGGAGCTTGTGCACATTAAAAAATACATCGCAAGATATACCATGGCTGGTAGCTCGGCCTATTTAGCTCGTAGTTGTACTGATGAGGCCTTTATGGCCAAACTGCTTGCTGTCTACAGCATTGGGTATATATATACAAATCTGTGGACAGCAACTGTTTCGCTCCGTTAGAGCTCCTCAGCACAGCTCAGAGGACCGCAGTGCAGCTCTTCGCAATGAAATACGTTTCCGTGAAGCAAAGCAAAAAGAGCTGCCAACCCCGCCAAGAGTGCTCTAAATGCTCCAAGAGCAGTGAGCGTTGCACAAGGCGAGCGGCAAGGGTTCGCGCTAAGGTAAGAGTGCTCAACCTAACGACATTGCTGACTGCTAGGGAGCATAATACTCAAAATTCTGTGGACAGCAACTGTTTCGCTCTGTTAGAGCTCCTCAACACAGCTCAGAGGACTGAAGCGCAGCGCTTCGCAATGAAATACGTTTCCGTGAAGCAAAGCATTTTGTATATACCAGGTTCGGCCTCATTTCCTCTGTGCTGCGCTGACGAGTTCACAAAGGACGAAACAGTTCTGTCCGCAGATTGAGTATATATATAATATATGGGAAAATCACCTTTTAAATGCCTTTTTCTCTACACTGAACGAAACAACATAAGGCCGCATTCACACTACGCAAAAGCAACTGCCTGCAAAAGTATGTTGAAGGCGACTTGAAAAAATCTGTTCACACACGATATGCGACGCGCATCACGTGATGCACTTTTTACGTTCGCCCTGACGAGTGTGTCATAATATTTCAACTCCACATTTTCTGGCGATCTGAACACACATCAAATTTCTGTTGATCGTTCTCAATTTGCCGTGGTGATATTGCAAGGAAATCCTTCTTTGCTGACATGGATAGCCAACTTTTATACTTTCGTGCCAAATTACCTAGGTTGCCAAGGAGAATGGCCTGAAAAATGGTCTATACTGCACTTTTTCAAGTAGTGTGAATGCGGCCTAAGCCCCCTTTTCGGATCTGGAGTCTCAAATAGGATGGCTGTGAGCTTGTACAGTACACATGGATTGAATACTGAATAGGACGGGTGTTGACGGGAAAAGAAGCGTGTGTGTTTATGGGGAGGGGGAAGATCATTTTTTATGGTGCAATTCTCTACTCAGGTCAGGGTATTGATCGGAACTGATATTTACGAAGTATGAGCTTGTACAGTACAAGTACAAACATTTTCTTTACCGAAGAGAATGGGTGTTGGTGGGAAAAGAAGCATGTGTGTTCTTCAATAGTTCTTCCCCGTGAAGTACTTGCTGCTGGCCAGGCTCGCCCAAAACCTACAGTCCGCAGCGAAATGATTAGCAATCCTGGCGATCACCCAGGGACTTTGTCGTTTCACCGTATGAGGTGCCTGGAAAAACTCTGCGAACTCGAAGAAATATTCCATGCAAAAGCATGAAAAATTGACTAAATCACTCATGTAGGTACGTCTGGTTTTTACAACAAACAAGTTCTTCCTCGATATGGAGTCACAGAGAACATGTCGAAACCGTGGTAATTGTTTAAGCTCGCCATGGGTCCCGTTTTGTCATCAAACAGTTTCTTTGAGCTGCGGTGCAATTTGCTTCCAGTATGGGACTAAAACGACATGGGCACAGACTCATTCTCAAGGCCATGACCTGGCCAAGCCATCCGTGTGACTTCGACAACTTTTTGAGAAAGGCAGACGCCTGTGAAAGCTGATAGAAGCCGGTGCCGACTCCTAAATTCAAATATATTGGTGATTGTGAAATAATAAAAAATTCTACAAGAAGTCGATTGATCGATGTGCCGGTGTCAGCTACAGCTGACGGTGCAATGACTTCATTCACACCATTTTGACGTAACTTTGCCGTAAGCCAGTCCGGTGTCAGGGCAGTCGACAGGAAGCGCAAGCTCCAACGTCTGGAGCAGCACCTTCTTGAATCTTGTACAATTATGTAGCAGCTTGATCACCAAAACGGTGAACAAAGTTTTAGTTGAAGATAGCTTGGGTTTTGAACCCACTACTTCATTGTCAGCAGACAGTATTAATAACCGCACAGCCAAAAAGCCGTAGATAAATGGTGGATTTTTGACGAAATGTCGCTACTGGTTTTCAGGGGAAATTCTAAACCATGGGAAAGGGCCAGAAACCTGGCCGAAATTCTCACTCCTTAACGGCTGTTCCAATTGTTCCGAAACCTTTACAGAACAGTCCGCCATGCCACAACACCGTCTCCTATGTACTTTGTTGTCCGAATTTCCCTTAAAGGTTTGTTAAATCTTTTTGAAATGGATTATAATGGTGCATTCATTTCAAGCCTAGATTTATGAATAGTGTTAAAGTGTATGCATTTGTAGAGTTTGTAGCATCCCAGAGCATGCAACTCTTTGTATCACGAATGCCTGCTTGTGATCCTCTCTTTTATGTTGGCTTTACATGTAATCAGGTTTTGATTGATTGCGGCGCATTCTGAGAATGTCACGCAGAGCGGCACATTTCACTTGCTGCCTAATGCTTTGGACCCACCACATGATGTGGCCTATCTTGTTTATACGCGTATTTTGATTTGGGTGACTGCGTATATGCTTGCTTCAGTGCTTTAGGTGTACAGTGGGGATCGGATATAATGACCTGCATATAATGATATTATTGTTAAGGGACACAATTCTGTTGCCCAAGTCGTTTAGCAAGTCATTTGCGTACATTTTAGATCGGGTATAACGACCGCGAAAATACCGACAGATCGAATTTACTGACACGGTTTTGGTGCCCGAAGACCTGAAAATGGATCGAATATGACAACTTTTCTGTACAATTTCGCTTCATCAGGCCGACTGGCATGCATGGAACGTGGCTGTGTCACCTGCGAGGACCACGCGACCTGTACACCATACACTGCAGAGCAGAAGTATTCTATGCATGTACATGCCGCCGTGCAGTAGTGCTGTTTCCGTGCATGTCTTTTGGCTTGAACATAATGTATCACAGGTCTCCTCTCCATGTAACGTATTCTCTAGGACCACCCAAAAATTATGTTATATCGAGAGTTATGTAGGAAACCGTGTGTAAAATACAAGATGTACCTCAAAGTGAAGGCTGATTTAACCATACCAACATGTACAAACTGTACCACCATCGACATCAGATGCAATCAATGACCCAGAATGTGCACAATAGGACTAAACTGGCTAGCTACAGCTACATGTACAGCTTGATCGTACCGCGTACGTGAATCTTTACTTTGGTGTATCGAGAGTGCGCACGTCATGCACTGCCCTGTAGCAGGCATTATGTCGAGGTTAGGTTATATAGGATAAAACTGGCCTAAACTGGCTAGCTACAGCTACAGCTTCATTGTACCGCTCGCGTAAATCTACGTTGTATTGAGAGTGCACACTTCGAGAACCTCGCCGTAGGGTGCATTATGTCGAGGTTTACGTTATCCAGGATTACGTTGTTCAGAACAAAATTTGTATGGGAGTGATTTTTTACGTACTAGCGAGGGTTACGTACCAGTGAGAGTTATTATATGGAGAGGAGACCTGTACATGCATGACACCGGTATGTACTGCATGTTTATGACACATGCCTGTACATGCACATCTGCAATCAATATCTGGCATTGTGTTCTCTCCAGAGGGGAGTGTCGTTATATCACGACTCCACTATATCTTTCATAACACTAGGGCGGAAACGAACGCTCAATGAAGCGAACGAATATTCTTTTTTCCGAATACACCTGAAACGAAGAATATTCCGAATATTTTGAACTATGCAATATCCATGGATACCTAGTTGTATCCATGGTAACCATAGACCATCAACTGGTGACTGCCCATTTTATGAGAGAGCCATTTGAGAAGCCATTGTTATCATTGGCTTGCTGATGATAACACATGGATGGAGACAAGCCTACACATATTCTGCACCACATAAGCCTATTCTATATCAACAAGGTGGGTTTCTGCGCATTTACGAATATTCTTATTCCTCATGAATGAAGAATATTCTTTTTCTGGACTCGGATGGAGAGCCAAGGATAAATTAATAGAAAAGAAAAGGGGCCAAGGAACTACAAGTTACGCTATAATGTGCAATGTTATCGCATGAGCTTATTGTTTAGGAACTGGTGGTGTTAGTGGACATTATAGCGTAACTTGTACAAGTAGTTCCTTGGTCCTTTCTCTTTTCTGTAAATTCTTTGTCTGGTCTGCGTATTTCGAATATTCCTTCCAGCCCAAGATAAAATACTCGATGGTTATGATTCTGAAGGCAGAAAGCTGAAGAGTCCCGACACAAGTACTGCTGACGACAACGCAAATCCACTCCCGAAGAAACCGAAGAAGATCAGTTCGTCTAAAGGTAATAGTGCAATGCATGTCTGTCTACATCTCATTTCACAAGAGAGAGTTTGGAAGCTTTGTTACAACTCTGAGTTTCACGTATTACTACGATCATCAGGCAACTGATGGATCCAAAACGGGCAGCCAGAACATAAGGGGGAGCAAGGTGGGAAATTCTGAGGGGCGTCATAGGCGACGCGTATCATAGCGCAAGAGTCAGGTGCAGGCGTGAAGTTGCCAAGTCTTCAGACTTGCGGCTATGCAGCAGTAGTACTACATCTCATTTCATCCACTTTAGGGAATGAAAAGGGAAAGTAGTAGGGTCCCTCAACTCAAAATACGGTCTCTTTGCTGCATACATCACTAGAATGTTCACCAAATTTTCTGGCTTGGCCAATCATCAGGGTAAAAAACAGTTTACAGTTTTCACACTGATGACGGGCCATGGCCGAAGATTTGGTGAACATCTTAAATGATGTATGCAGCAGCAAAGAGACCCTATATTGATTGTCTGATTTGAGGTACCCTAATGTGTAGATGGCTGCAATGGAGTCTGCGAGTTCTTAGAAAAGGAGAGGGTGCGAACATATGATTGTAACCACATTGACATCAGGCCTCAAACCAGGGACCTTCGCTATAGGTCAGCGATGCTCTACCACAAAGCAATGCCACCGCTAAGTTATGCTGCGGTCGCTATCCAAACTCAGACCGTTCAATGTAGCGCGATACTGCGAGTCAACAAATATTCGGCGCGTATTTATTTTCGGCTATTTTCGGCCTGGTCATGTTTGGCTAAAAAATTGTTGCGGCCAAAATAGTTTTCACTCACAAAGGGACTGTTTGGTACATGGGGTAGTGGTCCACCCGAGCGATCACACTCACCACCGTAGTGGTTTTCCAGAAATGAGTAGAAGAAAACCACCCTCGCAGCCACATAATAGATAAAACAATCTATTATTTTAAAATCAGTAAAAGAACTGCCAGCATCCGGGAGAAACGGCCGCAAAATCAGGAGAAACAGCACGGTAAGTGGTGAACATGGGTGACTGGGCAGCAGGGGAGTACCTGAGAACAATGACTCCTTACATTCCTGGCCACGACCGCTCAACCGGGCTATAGAAAAATCACGTCTTCAGGCCAAAAAAACCCATCTATTTCATTACTGCCTGCCTCACTTTCAGTCAGACCCAAGAATAGAGAGAAACAAGAAAACCTGAATGTATTAAACAGGATATGTCATATGCTACACGCTTCGCTAGGCTCAGCCGTGAAAAAAAACACTGTTTGCAAGGTACAGTGTGACAGTGACAGTGTATACCGGCGGCAGCAGTACAGGCTGGAAATTTGATGCGGTCGAAATGGGTTTGAGCAATGGGAGGCCGTAATTTAAATAGGCCGATTTTTTAGACTTACGGTAAGTCACAAACTGGTCTTCTGAGCATCCTTCTGCGCATGTCATCAGTGGTAATATTATGACTTTCTGCCCCTCATGGGTCTAGCCCCCTCGTGGACAACTTTTTCTGCGTGGTGTTTTTCACTGAAATACCCCATTTCCACAGAAATCGAGGCTTTACAGCAAGAATTTGCCCACATGCCCCCTATAACCTTTTGTTTTTCCTACTCAACAAGGCTGTGACTTGACATAGAGGCTGCAAAACAGGGACATCTTCGGACCATTCTTTGTATTTCACCATGCTCACAATGACTTTCACGCAAAATTCACTGCAGGCGAAAGGCTATGGAGCGGGATTGCAGTGGGTGAAAAGTCTGGAATTTGTTGTGTAGAGATGTTGCTCTGTACAGGAGACCTATTGGCAGGAACTACACCATGATATTAGCCTGTGCAGAGCTATCTAACAAAGTAGCCCATAGGGAGAAATCTCACAAAATTTCTGCATAATCGCAAAATACGATATTTTTCAGAGCGGCATACTGGAAGATGATGCCCAAATAAATGGCCATTTCTTGTTCCAAACATCAATAGAGAAGGGCTTAAGACAACAACAGCAACAACAACAAAAACAGGCCAATCTTCGGACCAATTTTCTGGTATTGAGCTACCTTCTGAAACATTTTGTTCAGACCTCGAAGTTCACGCTTTCATGAAGGAAGCTACACAGTTGCACATCCCTCACTGTTCCACACATACCTGAACTATTATAATAGTATGCGGGGAGCCCCAATGCTTGGATTATTCATTAGTTTGAGGGAATGAAAAGAGGACAAAAAACCTTATACAATGTACTACTAGCTAATGTTTGTCATACTTGTACGAATTGTTGCGTATTCGTCGCGTTTGTGTATTTGTAAGCTAGGGTTGGTTCCTCAATAACTAAAATGTATGATTACGTAATACTGTCATGTGGCACACTGCCTTACGTCCCAGTGACACTGCTTCCAACATGCAGCATCAACGTCCAGAGCGGGGAAAAGCCCATGCCCCCCCCCCCCCTGCTATTGGTAAATATGTGCTAGTGATGGACACAGCTGGACACGAGGAGACACTTAGTAGGAGAGCATCAGGGAGTCGAGGCCTCTGATTTCGAGTCCTGGTGGCAGCCAATTCTTTCCACATGCCTTTCTCCCAGGAATAGGTCGAATCAAGTGTCATACTTTAATTAGTGTTAACATCCCACTGCACGCACAGACATTGAAGACAAGGTTTGGGCTAGACTGGAACTCACGCGGGGGAAATGGGGTTAGGCTTACACCCAGGCCACCACATGGTAGGACGAATCTAGAGGGGGCCGCTAACAAGGTTAGGCTTACACCGCACTTCCACATGGTAGGACAGATGTGGAAGTAGGCTGCTAACGGGGTTACGCTTACACCCGGACATCTGGATGGTAGGACGAATGCAGAGGGGCTGGTAACCTGGACTTGGGTATCAGCTCACAGGCTTACGGAGTGCTTTGTAGCCACCCACTCCATGTGAATGCCACCCTTTCCGTGAGTTCCTTATTTTTTATTCGTGACTCGGATAGTATGTAGTAATGAGTAGTGTGATACTAGTACCACGCCAAATTGGGTGGGTTGGGATGGGGAAATTTTGGCAAAGAGCTAGTGTTGGAGCAAACAGCAAGTGAGAGTGGTAAGCAACAACAGGAACAAAGAACACGAGTGCATGTACATATGGGCTCAGATGCGCTGGTAGGTTAAGCTGCCGACAGAGCTAGAGGGGAACATGCTCCCTCGTGGCGCGAACCGTGCCCGTGTCACGTGCACAGCGGTGTGCGTGGGCAGCTCAACGACAGCGCTACGGGTAGATGTGGAATGCAGTGTGAAGTAGCGGCATCGCTACGGGTAAATATTGAGTGCTATGTGCAGTAAACGCAGGCGGACACGCGCTGAGAGAGCGTTACATGCGTGTTAACTACAGTTAATACTACGTATAAACTGAGATGTATCACTGAAAGTTACCTGAGAACGGGTTTACTCGCAAAGCGAATTGCGTGAGTAACTGAGGGTTACTACCTCAAACTTCTCTTTACACCTCGTTGTCACACTGCCTCAGCTAATGCAAAGTAACTCTTCTGAACAATTGTCCTATTGCTATTGGCAGCGAAACCATTCGACATAAGGACATGGGACAAGAAAACCAGGAGTTTTATCGAACCGCCGACAACCAAGCGGAGGAGATCTGATCGAGACATTGCCGACGATAAGAAAGAGGATAAGCCCAAGGTCAGTGATTTTTCACTTTTGTACATCTTTTTCCTTTCTGGGTTTTTGTTCTGTTGTGGCCATTTATGCCCCTTTACCCCCCCCCCCCCCCTCTCTCTGTCTCCTCCTCTGTTTCTTTGTCTGTTGTCTATCTATTCTTACACTAAAAAGTCCAAGAACTGAGACCGACCAGTATATGTTTACATGGCACGAAGGATATAGAGGATATGCAGGATAGAAAAGGAGACAAATGAAAATGCATGACTGTGTTGAAGCAAGAGAGAAGAAGAACCAAATAGAAACACAGATAAACGGACTATCAAAGCACAAGCGGATGCAAACATGCTGTCCTCATCAGAACGTGCACGTACAAGTGCACCTACAACCAGCGCAAACGACGCCAGCGTACTGCATGCATCAAATACGGGAAACACATGCACCGAAAATGTAGCCAGATCGATACTCGATCACGACTGACTACAGTTCGTACAGTCCGGGTAGCTAACATAGTACCTCATGACGTCAACTTAAAACTAGACACAAAAAATACACCGCGTGTGCACTCAAGAAATACAAACTACGAGTGCGAAGCAAAATAGAAGAACGTAACTCCGTCGTCAAATAGTGCAGCAGAGCAGTCTACTGACTAAACCAGCATGGATACTACGACATCTGGGCAATTGCCTAACACAACGATCAAGGATAAGAGGTAAGACCAGTCAAATACAAATCAAGAAATTCAATGCTCAAGAAATAATTCAAACAAAACAGGCATAGCATAGCCTAGCACAGCAGCACCTAGCCAGGGAACCAAGCAGGAGTTACAGTCATGACGAGATCTGACAAACATGCACTGAAGACCTTTCCATGACAACGCCATACACAACATTCTCCCCACCAAAGGGCTTCAGTCAACTGAATCACAAATCAAGCCGAGTATCCAGGGCCACCTTGGGAGACTGTCGGTCCAACTCACAATCTTTTGAATGGGCACACTCAAGTCGTTAACAACAAATGACACAGAATACTTTGTGATGTGGCATGTAGTAGCCAGCATTCTCTGGGTGTGGCTCTTTCTCGATGGCATCCAATGCCAAATACTCAATGATCAGAACTTCATCATACGCTGTACGCTGACCTTTACACTACAACTGCTTCAGTAGCGATTGTGCCGCTGCCATCGCTTGGTTGAGGTTGTCTGGGAGGCGTTTCTCCGACCGCCACAGCAATCCAACCGGGTAGAACGTACTGCAACGATCAATCGGAAAGTCGGGTAATGTCTTGGTGACTTCGGGAAATATTTCCATTTTCCTCAGGCGGTCGATCTCAACGCAGCAGACACTGACGGCCGGTGGCTGGGCAGCGCACATAGCTGGACCCGACAACTCGACCCAGACAGTCAGGCACTCTGCCGACGTGAATTGATGCTTGTCACCCATGATCGGTTCCGTTGTCTTCGCCTTACAACCATGGGCGGTTTGATACGCCATACCATCTTTGGCGAACGCTTTCAGGTTCTTGGTATAGCACCTTTTCTCTATCATGAATGCCTTCATGTCAGCACCGACTGATTCCAGCAGCACTTGCCGTACTATGGACACGAACAGTCCACTCTCGTCCGCCTGGCTGGTCCCATTGCGGGTCGATGAACTGCGAGTTGATGACTCAGGCATGGCAAGTTTCGCTCATTTCTCCGTTTCTCTTGTTGTTCGTACCACAAATTGGTAGAAACTCTCATCACTTTTCCGCACTATGACCACCAATGCCTGCCAGGCCTTGTCGGCGGCCTTTCCATGTGCAGTTAGTAGCTCGCGCTTGGCGTCCGCAAACGTGCTGCATCCGTAGCATGCGCTCTCTAGCTTGCTGCCTGCAACAGCAAAGTGCAATCTTATCAGGTACTCGTCCTCACTAAACTCGTTCTGTGCCGCCACATCTTCGAATAACTCAAGGTAGAACTCTACCGTTTGCTTTCCATCAACCTTAGGCATCTTGATGGCTGGCTTCCTCGCGATGGCACTACTATTCAGGATGCTGCTGTCGTTGCTAGAGGGTCTGGACTGTGTGATTTTCTTCCCTAACTCTGCGACCCTCTGCCGCAGCTCCGCAGCACAGATGGGGTGAATCTCTTAGCTGGTTTGTGCGTGTTGTGGGTAGCTCAAAAGTTTGGGGGGAACCTGAGCGTGCGAATGGGTTGTATTCGGGATAGGTGAGTTGCAAGAAGGTGTTGTGGTGCATATCTATGGTGCAGGCTACGTGCAAGAAGAATATGGAAGAGGGTACGGCGGCTGCTAAGTGATGGCCATTTGAGCCGGTGCAGCAGCACGGAGTGGGTTCTGTGTTCAAAGAGGGGGAGATGCAAAGAGAAGCGAGCGGCGGGCCGTTGGATGCGCTCACGCCGGTCACTGAGGGTTAAGGGTAGGGGTGAGAGGACAGTGCAGCCATACTCAAGAATGGGGCGGATGTAAGATAGATAGATGGAGGAGTGAGCAGAAGTGTTTCAGGAATTGCGTAGTCGCAGGAGAAGGAACATCTTCCTGGAAGCTTTAGTGATAACATAATCAACATGTGAGTTCCAGCATAGATTATGCTGTATGATGAGACCAAGGTGGCGATGCCTTGAGGCCACAGTGAGGTTGGCATTGTTGCGTGTGATTGATGGTGGTCTAGGAGGTGGGCGGTTCGCATGGTGAAAGTGGATGACAGTGGTTTTACTGTTATTGACCAGGAGATGCCAATCCTTCAGCCACTCTGCAGCGGTTGTCACAGCTGACTGCAGGTGCTCCTCTTCGGCTAGAAATGTTTCATGGGCAACAATGATAGCAGTGTCATCTGCAAACTGGCTGCACCCGGTGTTGGCATTTATGCAGGCGGTTGACAGATTGACTATGTAGGCCGTGAACAAAAGCGGTTCCAAGGCAGAGCCTAGGGAGATCCCTGCTGGAATGTTCAGCCAGGTTGACTTGCTGCTCTCCACTTGTTCACGTTGTCGTCTGTTGGTGAGATAAGAGACAAGCCACTTGAGGTATTCGCCATCGAGTCAGAGGTGGGCCAAGTTTGCAAGCAGTCCTTGGTGCCACACTCGGTCAAACGCCTTAGATAAGTCGAAGAAGCAAGCAAATACTGATTGTCCAGCAGCTCTTTTCTCGATGATTTGATGGATTAATCGGGACAGCTGCTGTGTGGTGCCGCCTTTTGGCCGAAAGCCTGATTGGCGTTTGGGGAGGTGAGGTTGAATGTGCTTGGAGATCCGGTCAGCAACAATCCTCTCTTGCACTTTCGGCGTCACACTGAGCAGTAATATCGGTCGATAGTTGGAGGGCTCGGTTTTGCTGCCCTTCTTGTTGAGGGGGTGACTGTTGTATCCCTCCACTCTTGAGGGATAGTGCAACGTTCAAAGGAGACGTTAAAAAGGGTTGCTAGGGATGGCGCAAGTGAACTGGCTGCCTCTTACAGTAGGCGGGTTGGTATGCCATTACAACCCGGGCTCTTTGACGGGTCGAGGTTAGGCAGTAGCTTTGAAACCTCTGGAGCTGTTGTTTCAAGTTTAGTTAGACCAGGTGTATTGGGGGTGGGGAAATGAATGGGGGGGGGGGGGGGCGTTCCTCGTCGCACCCTTGACTGACTGTTGTCTCTGCGGGATGAAGAAAGCGTTCAGGGCGGTTGCTTTTTCAGCAGGGGTTGAGAGAGTCTGACCATAGGAGAGCATGTCTGGCAGAGTAGGTCGTTATGAGGACTGGAGGCCATGCACCAGTTTGTGTAGGTTTGGTGTAGAGTGGCTCGTCCCAGTGCCATTACTTACATTATGTAGACTTTGTTGTTGCTATTGCTTTTGCTGTTGCTGTTCCTACTGCTGCTGCTGCTGCTGTTGTTGCTGTTGTTGTTGTTGTTGTTGTTGTTGAGGATTGGAGGCCGCGCATCAGTTTGTGTAGGTTTGGTGTGGAGTGGCTCGTCCCAGTGCCATTATGTAGACTTTGTTGTTGCTGCTGGTTCTGGTGCTGGTGCAACTACTAGTCATGTAGCAGATCTGCTTTGTTGCCACACCTGCTCATATATCAGTTGCCTGCCAAGTTTGGAGGCACGTCATGACCTGCCGACAATTTGACCTTCCCTTGCCGACAACAGTCATGAATGTCCACTTTTGACAATCTTGGTTATGAAGTTATGGTCCAGATTTCTTTGTTGTCACTGAACATCATAGGCGTTTCCACAGCTCTCCCCTAAAGTGCTAAGCAAGTTAATCATCTGTCTGTAGAAAGGTCGTGGGCAGTGACATTACAAAAAGAGGAAGTTCTGTATGTGTATACTGGGTTTGGTAGGAATGGGGTCCGCGGTCTCCCTCCCCGTTTTATTTTTGGATTAACATACTCACAAATCGAGCTATGTCGTTGCTGTGTCATCATCTATGTGCCATGTGCTACTTGATGTACCAGCCTGCTATGCCGGATACCGCCAGCCATGCATCGACCAGGCGCCAGGCGCGAACTGATGGTGGTGGTGGTGAGAAGGAGAGCTCAGTGCCAGAACTTTGCAGCCTAGAGAGCGTGTGTGGGCAGGCGTGTGTTTACCGCCATATTGCCAGGTGTGTCTTTACCACCATATTTATCAAACATACTCACATTTGGGTAAAATGATGTGGCAACACTGGATCTGTTTTCTTTTGTAGGCACCCTCGTCCAGCCCAACCATCAGTCCTCAGCCAAACAAGGCTAACAAAGAACGACAGCAACAGCAGCGGTCTCCATCTCACAATGGCTTGGCCAAGAAGAGTGACACGGACAAGCATAAGAGACCGCAGCAAGCTGAGAATGGTAAGATTGGTTTTCACGAACAGCACGATTCACAATTTTCTGCGATGCCATGTGCAACATGCGGCACTTGCGGCAAAGAATTGCCTGTTGCGTATTGTTGCAAGCAGTCGCAAGGCCACATGTTACAAGGCGGAGGACATGCTGTCATGAATTCATTGTACATTGTACTCACGTGTTGCTGGGTTATGTTTTGAAAGAAAAAAAGTTTACATTTGCCACAGCATGCACCTTCAAATAAATACTATCCATATGATATGCACATCAATTTTGTTGTCAGATCTGGATAAGAAGAACTGCCAGCTTGATGACCACTCTGCATTGGTTGCCACTTCCCATGAGGGTGCGCAACAGGCTCTGGCTGCGTTTGTACATGTTGCTGGTGCATTTGGCCTGAAGGTGAATCTCGCAAAGACCAAGGGCATGCCGGTCAGCTACGGACTCACAGCACATGACCGTCTGCCTTTGATGGCAGCGGGTGATATTGTTGAGAGCGTGGCTGACTTCAGGTATCTCGGCTCCATCATACATACAGATGGAAGATCGGCTCATGATATCAAGTCGCGCATTGCTGGAGCATCGGGGGCCTTTGGGGCGCTGCGTCGTACAGTTTTCATGGACCGCAACCTATCAGTTGCCACTAAGCACCAGGTGTATGAGGCGTGTGTTGTTTCCCTGTTGCTCTACTGCTCTGAGTGCTGGGTGCCACTGAGCCGGGATGTAGCCGCTCTCTCGATATTCCATATGAGATGTATCCGATCGATCCTGAGCATCACCCAACTTGACATGTGGACATCCCGCTTGACTAGCACCGAGGTTGTGGCAATCTGGAACTCCGCCAGACAGTTGATGATCTACCGACCCTTTCTCACGCGTCGCCGGATGGAGTGGCTTGGTCATCTGTGCAGAATGGGGGAGGAGTGTACTCCACGTCAGCTGCTGTTTGGCTCCCTCTTGCCGACTCGTCCTGCCTGTGGCCCTCGGAAGAGGTGGTGTGACGCCGTGGGAGTGGATGTTCGATGCCTCGACCTGAGCGATGAGGCATGGTTTGACCTGGCACAGGAGCGCAGTGAATGACGAGGGGCGTACTCCAGCGTTACTTCATCTGGACCACGTCCACAACCACGAACACCATGCACGGTTTGTGGCCGGTCAGTCAAAGAGTGGTACAGGTCGTCCCTCGTTAATACATAATCTCTGGGACTTGACAAATGTTATAATATTAACGGGGTTTATGTACTAAACGAAAGTGTACATAGCTTGCTTGTGTACCAGAATTTTTCACTTTTTTCCACTTTTCTGAGTGTTTCTTGCTACCATGACTAGGCAGCGAGATATTCTTGATTCCCTCGATATAACATAAAACTTATGTTATAACGGTCACAGTCAGCGACGATTCTACAGTTGACATGGTACATGCCCAGCCGCACCTGTACAGTCACTCGAAAAAAAACAGAGCTTTGTCGGTTTGTGATGTGCGCTCTGATTTCTATGCTAATTGCGTCCACAAGTAGAAACTTGAACACGATGTGCCTCCACTGGAAGGCCAAAAGACCAACAAATTATGTACTATTAAGGTAGGTGACATGCGGGTACAGAGAAATGTTATGTACTAACGGGGTTTATGTACTAACGGGGTTTATGTACTAACGGATTATGTACTAACAGATTATGTACTAACCGACAAAATTTGTATGGAAGTGACCACGTTTCGTCCGGGACTTGAAATTTCTTATGTACTAACGGGGTTTATGTACTAACCGGACTCGTACTAACGGGGACAACCTGTATGACCTGGCACAAGTGCGAAGAGGTGCGCAGCAAGCCGATCGCGGATCAGATTGGGAGCAGGAAATGCCCAGCGTGCATAGAATGGTTCAGGAGCGCCGGAGGCCTCGCTGTCCATAAGTGTCTACCCGAGAACGTTCGCTCTACGTGCCCAGTGGATGGCCCTTTATTTGTCTGTTCCCAACTCGGTTGCGGCAGTACCGGTGCCGGCGAGGACTCGGATAGCACTACCCTGCTGCCAGGCTCATTGCAGCGCATGTGGCAGGTGCTGGCGATCAAAGAGGGATTTCCAACTGCGAAATGTAACAAAACTCTCGTTGGCCGCTAGCCTGCGGAGCGCGCAGCGTACCGTACTCAAGCGACCTACCCCATGTCTGCTCAGGGTGGGTGGGTGGGTGTGGTTGTGTGTGTGGTTAATTTAGGGGAATGGGAAGAGCATTTGTTATGATGCCATCCTCTACCCAGGGCAGGGTAATGACCGGAACTGATATTTCTGCAAAGTATGGGCTTGTACAGCACAGACAGTCATAGTGAATACCAAATCAGCTTCTTGATCCGATAATGGCGGCTTATTTTGGGTTATCTGTAGCATGACATTGCTGTCATCAAGCAGATCACTGTGCAAAAAGCAAAGTCCAAAATCTTCATCTATTACAGAGTGATGGGCATTTGAATAAGTTCATTTACATCGCTTTATATGGAAAACTTGCCTTTCAAATGCATTTTCTCAACACTACGTGAAACCACATAAGCCCCCTTTCCGGATCTGGAGGCTCAAATAGGATGGCTGCGAGCTTGTACAGTACAAATAGATTGAATACCGAATAGGATGGGTGTTAAAAAATGTAAAAAACTGGCTCAGTATCCGAGTTTAAAGGATGGGTGTTGCGAACCTTGAAGGAGAAGTATACCCTAAAATCAAATTTTCACCAGTTGTAGTCTTCGGGGTGCCGAGTCGAATGGTTTTGGCCCGAGGAAGTTGAGACGCTCTCTTCCTACTTTATTCCCAATCCAACTCGCACACTTCCACCGAAACTGGGTGACTGCGCCCTACTAGATGGAGATTTGTATGCAAAAGTCACTAAAAGCGCAGTTTCGTTCTTATAAAAGCACGGATGACCGCAATTGGTCCAAATGTTGTAGTCTCTTGGACGCTGAGTCAACTGGTTTTGGTCCGAAAAGGCTGCGATGCAGCGTTCAGCCCTTATTCCCAATCAAACACGGGTGAGTAAGTGGTCACTTGCTCATGCGTGCACCAGTCACTTTTACAGCCGCTTCCTGTCACTCGAGTTGAACCTTGGTGTAAAAGTAGGTCGTAGGGAGAAACCAGACTAAATTGCTACCTTCTGAAACATTTTGCTCAGACCTCGAAGTTCAGGCTTCCATGAAGGAAACCACACAGGCTGGTGGAATACATCCCTCACTGTCCCACATATACCTGAACTATTATAATAGTATGCGGGGAGCCCCAATGCATGAATTATTCATTAGTTTGAGGGAATGAAAAGAGGACAAAATACCTTTTACAATGTACTAGCTAATGTTTCTCGGACTTGTACGAATTGTTGCGTATTCGTCGTGTTTGTGTATTTGGAAGCTAGTGTTGGTTCCCCATCAACAAAAAATGTATGATTGTGTAATACTGTCATGTGGTTAACTGCCTTACGCCCCATTGACATTACTTCCAACTTGGTATTCGTGGATGGTTGTAGAAAGGTCAGTGTTTCCGAACACAGTGTCCTCCATCTTGTTACATGCTGTCTATCTAACTACTTCCAACTTGCAGCATCAACGTCCAGAGGGGGGAAAATCCCATGCCCCCCCCCCCCCCCCTCCCCCCTGCGGTTGGTAAATGTGTGCTAGTGATGGAAACAGATAGACACTAAGTAGTAGCAATCGAGTTTCTTCTTCAATTAGTGGTATCATTTAAAAGGTTACTTGAGAACGGGTTTATTCACAAAGCCAATTGTATGAATCACTGAGGGTTACTACCTCTAACTCGTCTCTACACCTTGCTCACACCTTGCCCAAGCTAATGCGAAATAACTTCTGAACAATTGTCCTATCACTATCGGCAGTGAATACCAAGAGGGTAGCCTTGCCGCATACTACCAAGCAGAGGAAATCTGATCGAGAC